GGTGAGGAGCAGGCACGGGCGGGCAGGGCAGCAGCAGGCAAGGAGCAGGCACGGATGGGGAGGGTACAGGCAACTATGAGCAGGGAGCAGGCAGGGATGAGCAATGATGAGCTGGGAGCAGGCAGCGATAGGCAAGGGCAAGCAGGTGGGGATGGGCAGGGAGCAGGCACAGGAGGCAGGGAGAAGACAACAACAGCCAGGGATGGCCAGGGATGGGCAAGGAGCAGGCAGCAATTGGGCAGGGCGCAGGCATGGGCAGCAGGGAGCAGGTAGGGACGGACACTGCCTGCCCAGGGGCTCTGCTGCCTGCACAGATAGGTAGGCATGGACCAAGAAACCTGTGGGCACAGGCTGTCTGGAGGCTCTATGCTTGCAGGAGGCTGCAGGGAGAGCCCACCTCCTCCCTACACACAGCACAGAGGGGCTACAGCATCCTTGGGGACAAGAGTGACCATGCCTGCCTGCATGTCATGGCCCCCCTCCTGCTTGGGGGTGAACACAAGGTCTTGTAAGGTGATGGCAAAGACAAGGAAATGCCATCATGGCCCACGGGCCCTATGGGGCCCAGGATGGAGTGGGATGTCCAAGGTCAGCCATGTGGCACTGAGCCCTGGACATGGCACACCAGCCCCGGTGCTGCTCTGGTGCCCAGCCAGGAGGTTGAAAACCATGCAACAGGCATATAGGGTTTGGGGGTCATGACAGTGTGTGAGGGGGAGCACAGCTTGTCTCTGTAATGGCACAGGTGACTTGGCACCCCCAGGCCACATGTAGCATGAGGTCACATGCCACCATGCTGAGCTGGGTGGCTCTGTGCTGTCCCATGCATATCAAGGTGGAGAACCTGGAGATGTTGGGCTGGGCTGAGCAGAGATGTTCTCCTCGCTGACCAATGATGAAGGGCACCTCCCTTCTCATGCCCAGACTGGGGACAGGACATGTCCTGTGAGGGAAGCCAAATCCCTTTAGGGAAGGCAGCAGGTCTGGAAGGAAGGGCACAGCTCCAAGACAAGGCACAGCCAGCAGGGACCCCAGGGCTATCTCAGAAGAGGTACGCAGGACACACAGGTGTGACCACAGTCTCAGCAGAGGGGTTGTGGGTGGACTGTGCTTGGCCACAGCTACTCCCATGTCCAGAGCCTGTCCAAGAGAAGAGGGGTCCCACTAACATCTCCCCCCCTAGGTGAGGTTTCTCTCAAAGGAAGCTGAGAGTCCTATCCCAAGGTCTCCATAAGTGATTCCTCACCACTGCAAGGATGGTGTCCATGCCAGTTGAGCTAACAGTGGCTGCAAGGGGTGATGGCTGGGGTATGGAGAGGCTTGGGGTTGGGACTCCATGGGGACAGGGGGCCCAGGACATTCCTGCGCCAGGCTGCCGGGGAGAGGTGAGGCGGGCTTTGCCTCCAGCCTTATCTCAGCACCTCCGAGTGGGACCAGTGAGAGCAAACACACTGGAATTCTTGAGGAAGATGAAACGATAAAGGAAAGGCGGGCAGAGAGCAGCACTACCCACCCCCAAAGCAGGCGGCATCTTCCGGCTGCCTGGGACACCCAGACCCTTGGACTTGGGGAAAGAAAACAGGTTTGAAGTGAGTCAACAGCAGTAAAAGCCAGTGCACTGGGGGAAGGGACAAGGAGTTGGGTCAATGGCCTTTCCCCATCCATAGCAACACTGGGTATGGTGCCAGAGCCAGAGCTCCCATGTCTGGGGACACGTCCCACAGCCAAGGGCCACAGGACAAGCATGGAGGGCTGTGCGATGGGCAGTGAGCTACCAGAAGTCATGCCACCTCCACAGCAATGGGGACAATTCCCTGCAGAGCTGCCCAAGGCACTGTGGTACCCATCTGTGCATGGACGCGCAGTGCTCAGGGATTCTGATGGAGCCCTTATTTGGGAACCCCAAGAAGACCAGAGAGCTTCCAGGTACCCTGCCAATCAGGCAGCAGGACAGCAGAAATTGTGGGGATGGCAGGTGGGACACAGAGCTCTCCCTCTCCCAGGGGTGCCAGGGGGCAGTGGCTGGGTTAGGGCAGGCAGTGGGAGCACTGTCAAGAGAAAATGCAGTCAGAAGAACTCTCTTGCCTCCAACTCAAGCAATACGATGTCACCCACTTCCCAGATGCATGGACTAGTGGAGCTCACTGCATCCTCAAGTATCTCTGAGGCTGTTCCCTGGGAGATGCAGGCTCCAGCCCAGCCCCAGGGCTCCAGTGACCAGCAACCATGACATGTGCAACTCTCCAAGCTCAGTGCTGCCTCACAGGGGGTTTCAGTCCCTCTGCTGCAGTCCCCACTCTGAGAACCACACTGGACCACGGCCCCTGCTCTCAGAGGCACATGGCATTGCAGAGCTGTCAAGCCAGCACCCAAGCCACTTCTCCTCCCATTGTTACCAACACCTCATACAGAGACGGTTCCCAACCCCTCATACAGAGACGGTGCCCAGAGCCCCACTCAGTGCCTGCCACTATGGCTGTCCACGCTCACCCACCCACCAGCTCCAGACCGGGGGGTGGGTGCAGTGGTCAGTGGGGCAGCCCCCACTCCCCCCCGCCTCTCCCGGGAGCTCACTCGGGCTGTAACCCAGTGCTGAGGCTGGTGGCCAGGTTTCTTAGCAAGGCCGTGCGGCTCCTTATCTGCATTCCTGAAACCCTCAGGCATTCTCCTGGCAATAT